CTCCTTTCTCCTACTAAGTATTTGAAAACATTTTATTGGGAATCAAGAGAGTTTTATGAAATGTCATTTCTTTGCACAATCACCATTTGGGGAGAATCTTCTTTGTCTTTCACTCCTATTTGGCTTACACTTTTTAATATGTATTTGTCAACCAAAAAGACTTTGTTGTCAGGAAATTACTAAGAATATAATTACACTCACAAAAGAGGGAGAACGTCTCTTTTATGTTTTGGCACAACTGCAAATCATCTACCAAAAATTTTCTGTAATGTGTAGGTATTTAGTTTGTTATATAAAAACAAGAGAGTATGTTTTCCCCCAAGGTACCAACTCTTGAGGGTTGAAGTCAGAAAATCTAAAATTAATTAAACTTACCTGTTTGCCAAGAGCTATCACGGGGCTAGGTGTGTGCTAGGTGTATTGCTATAAATTCAATACATGATTGAGCAATTGTAGTTGAAATATGTCCAGTTTGGAAATGGTGTTAACCCACATGCCCACATGCCTTCACTCTCCTAGTGGGATGATTTGCCATCAAATCTCTTCTATCCATCAAGCCCCTGCCTATACAAATGGTCTCCCCACCTTCTGTCCTGCTAAATCAATCCTCTTCTATCCCTCCAATCTGAAAAGAAAAGACTTTCCTTCTCCAGAAGCCTTTTTAGGCTAATCCCACTGGGCTCTATTCATTACTTAAGCCTTTTGGGATGTTAAATGAGCTACAGTGCCTAGCTGCAGGATTTGCAGCATGCATTATTATTCTTTTTAGCTTCAATGTGTCCAAAGGCTTTAAAACATCCCTGCCTAAGCTCCTGCTTCAGGGAAGAATTCTTATCACAGCAAATACAGCCTGAGAAGCAAGACAAAAGGGAAGAAACCTAGGCAGGGCCTAAGAAGAGAGGTAGAAGCTTTAATACCATGCAGATATCCTTGAGATATCCTTTTTTCTTTCCCTAGAATTCAACTGAGTATATTTTTATACTCCATCTATGACTTCAAAAATAATAATGATTGCATCTATATGCTTCTTTTCTCACATGGAACAAAGTTTTCCTAAAGTAAGGAAAGCCTTTGAGATTATTTAACCCATAAAAATGGCAATAAAAGCGTAGAAATAGGTTTCCAGGAGGCATCAGTATGTCGACAAGGTAGTGCTATATGGTGTTTCTATGTGATTCTAAACTTCTGATTTCAAACAGCCATGTGAACGTGTAATGAAGTTATCTAAATCTGCAAATCTAGAATATTGTTAAGATTTAGAAAATGTACACTCTAGTTTTAATCTTCATAAAGTACCTCTCTAAAAATCAACAATGAATTTCCTTGCAAGAAAAGGAAACTGAGGCAGTAAGAGCCTCAGGTGCATGCTTTAGTTATAGAACTTAATATAATGATTCTCTCCTAATTCAATTTTTAGTAGTTCTGAGATTTTTGTCTTTTAAAAGTAAATGGTGACTTAACATAGGGTAGTTCATCTTTCATTTTATCAATAAGATTTTTAATGTATATTTGTTGCCTCATCATTTTTTAAAATAAGGAATAGTTTATTGTAAGCTTCTCCTGCTTTTTAATCTGTTTACCGTAAATACAAACAAATAAATTGCGTTTTGTCAGAAAAAGAATGAGTTTGACGTGGCAGGATTTGAAATGCAGGTAGTCCCTTACGAATCCCAAATTTAACATGTAGGATTGACATCTGGGTAACTATTTGTATGAATCAGTAGCCCTATACTATACTCTTATGTTGCTGGTAACAATATTAAGTACAAAAATATAATTATGTGAGAATTTTGTAACTATTTTTGGAGGAGTATTTTCTTCAGCTACTCTAAATAACCCAAAACAATATATTTATATTTGTTTTCTTGTTTTAAATTTGAGACAAAAAATGTTGAAAAGATCATCTCAAAATATAAGATTACACATCTTTTATCCTTGTGTGTATATATCTCTCCATTTTTCTCTGCTGGATGGTGAAAGTGCCACCATGGAGCAGCATTTGAGAATCTCAGGGTAGAACAGTTGGCATTTACTGAATACCCATTATTCTTAAAGATTTGCTTCTGTCCTTTTTTCTTCTAGAATAGGGGTATGTTTTTTTTAAAAAATCACTGTCAGTCCTATCTGAGTGCATTCCAGAAGTAGATGTGTAATATATAGGCTAGCTTAAAAATTATTTACAAATAATGTTTAAATATTTGTTCAATTTACATTTTTTCCAGACTTTAGTATGAATTTCCAGAGAAATTAATGTATCTGGCCTGGTGCAGTGGCTCATGCCTGTAATTCCAGCACTTTGGGAGGTTGAGGTGGGTGGATTACCTCAGGTCAGGAGTTCACGACTAGCCTGGCCAGCATAGTGAAACCCCATCTCTAATAAAAATACAAAAAAATTAACTGGATGTGGTGGCACATGCGTGAGGCCCCAGCTGAGTCAAGAGAATAACTTGAACCCGGGAGGCAGAGGTTACAGTGAGCCAAGATTGTGCCACTGCACTGCAGCCTGGGTGACAGAGTGAGACTCAGTCTCGAAAGAAAGAAAAAGAAAGAAGAAAGAAAGAAAGAAAATGAGAAAGAAAAAAGGAAGGAAGGAGGGAGGGAGGAAGGAAGGAGGGAAGGAAGGAAGGAAGGAAGGAAGGGAAGAAGAAAGAGAGCCCTTCAGGCTCTCTTAAAAGAGATATTCAAGAGAGTGACGGGGGAAAAGAATAGCTATAGATAAATGAAGAGTCTAAAATCCACCTCTCCAACATCTGTTTTTAATGGCATACCTTTCAAACTGTTTCCTCATTTAGACATGAGTGCCTTAAAACAGATTATCAGGTAACTAAAAGTCACTTCAGATGTCAAAAAGCAGAGCCTCATGCCAGTAGCAGAAAAAGATGCCTTATTTGGCTAAGACATGATTTCCTTACTACAGCAGGCACCAGGATCACCTGGAGGGCTTGGTAAAATAAAGATAGCTGGACCCTACCCTAGAGCAGGCCTGACTACTAAGTTAGCGTGCAGTGAAGCTGGAGAATTTGTCTTTGACCTATGTTCTCACCTGAGGCTGTTGCTGCTTGTCTGGAGAGCATCACTTTGAGAATGTGTCATGGGGAGTCAGGAACAGGAAAAACTACCTAGAAGTTTGTTCAACACATGGCCGACATTCAGCAGAATGAAGAGACTTGAAATATGATCAAGCACAAGAAAAGAAGAGAGATGTATAGAAGATAGGTTGCTGAATAATGACTCTCCCAACCAACCAACTTTACTCTGGCAGCAGTGATGTTCACTAATCAACCGATTCCAACGATGTTTCTGGAGACTGCAGACAGCGAAACACAGCTAAACCTCTTTAATTTGGAATGGCATTGATATTTTTGAAAGCTGAGATTGCTGTGATGATTTCTATCAAAGCCTGTAATAAGGGTAAAATTAAAGGTCCTCTAAGATCTGTTTTCATCTATATTTGGTCTGCTCTAAATGTGTGAGTCCTTAAATACAACTATTCTGCATCTGTGTAGTAGTTCATAACCTGGAGCATTCCAGGCTTTCTACATTCTCAGCTACCCTTTGAGGTCTTCACACATGTTTTGATTTCTAAGCCATAACAAATGTATTTTATATGCATATTTAAATAAGATGATCCTTCTGCCCATGTGGAGGAATAGTATAAGATCTAACAATAGCAATTCCAAGGCTCATCTTTCCTTTGGTAAATCACATTTCAGGCTTTGTTACACAATGGTAATAGCTTTGTGTGTTTGAGTTACTTTTATCTGTTTATACAATAAAAGTGCAAGATTTAAATTCTGGAACACTAAATAAACATCTATTGTCCCAGCTCTGTGTTCAGAAGATTAAAGATACTAAACAAACACTCTTTCAGCTTGATAAAAGCGTTAAAAGGGAGAAGAACCACCTTCTAAATAGTTTTTAACTTCTTATTAATCAGAAAGCTTTGACTGATAATTGGAAATTCCCTGGAAACAGACAGAAAGGGATCAGTGTTGGCAATAGCCTAGGGAAGCCATTGGACCTTCTTTTAAAGAGGCAATGGGTAGGTCCATCACAGTATTCCAAGAGGTAGAACCACATCACCTCCTTGCTCTGCAATAGAAGAGAGCAGAAATCAAGATGTTTCCAGCCTAAAGGCATATTTTTATATGAAGATTAAAATCTGAAATAAATAAAAGACAAGAAACAAGTTAAAGAATTAAAAGCTAAAAGTCTCCAGCTAAGTCTGAAAAAGAGCATCAGGATAATTCAGAGAAATCTTCAATTAAAGCTCACAGTTGAGAACATGGGAATTGTAGGTTTTCAAGGAAAAGAGAGCCTGGGGCCTAAATGTCTTTGATCACACAGAGGTATCTCTATCGCCACCCCATGGTTCCTCGCCAATTGACACTTACAGGCCAAGGCTACGTAGTCTCTCTTAAAGCAATCACATGACTTCCTTTAAATTAGGGATTGTTAGCTTTTGAATCGAATGAAATATCAAAAACAAAGCAACGTTTTGAAAGGTAAACACTGAAAATAGCCTTTGTCTATGTTGTTCTCTACAAGTACTTTTTAAAAGATGATCTAAAAAAAGAAGCTGTACAACAGGAGAAAAGCTTAATATATTACAGGGCATCAATGTTGTGAAACTGTCATTCAAAGTGGTTTCTATGGAAACTATTTGACAACATAGAAAAATCAAATTTATAAAACCAGATAACTAAGTGACATATGTAATGATTTTAACTTCGTAAAATAATATATAAGAATGCAAACAATGACTAAAGATATTATATTAAAGTTAAAATTACATTTCACGTGATTATAAGTAATTCTACTGATTTGCATCATACTTTAGATGGGAAAACACTTGAAGTTTTATATTAAAATATTAATCTTTTTGGCCGGAATCCCATAATTTGTTTTAATGTCCACAGCAGTAAGGAACTAAAAGTCTAGCTTATGGTCTTTTCTTGATGTTTTTATTTTGTCTGTATGCTTTTTTCTTTTTTCTCTAGGAGTGGAAACTCATCAATGCCAATTTTCTCTACTGATGGTGGACCTTTTGTCAAATTAAACACAGCACCTGATGGCAGCTTAATACTAACACCCAGGTGGGTCCCAACACCTGTTCTTAGACTAGTTGTACAGAGACACGGAAGAAGATAGATTGTTGGAGCCAATCAGATTTGAATGCTATTACATACTGGTCATAAACCTTGAAAGTTATTTGACTTATATTATTCTTTAAGTAATCTCAAACTGTATCTATTTAATATTATCTGTTAACATTTTATAATCTTAAAATATATAAGATGTTCAAAAGAAATATTCCATATGTAAATTTCTGGCACACTCGTAGGGATTTGACGTGTTTTAACTTTATACGCTTTTCTATCCTTAGCTTCACATTAATAAACAATTAAATCACATGGAAAGAAATTGTGAGAACTGGGATAAAACAGGTCCAGTGTTGATCAAACTAAAGAAGGCACACAGATTAGCTACCACTAAAAGAGAAGAAAGAGGGAAGAATCCTGATATTCTTTCCTCTTTGTTGGCAAATAGAGCATGCATATTAAATGAAGAAGTCTAGACTTCTCGTCGTGTCTGCGTGCTCTCTTTCACTTTTTAATATAAGGCTTATGTTTATAGCCTTTGCTAAGGTTTTAAAAAGCAGCATCTTTTCTGTATCCAAAGAGCTATTTTAGCTTAAATTAAGTCATTTCTCCTATTTGGGTGTTAATAGTAATTCTTGTTGAAATTGGCTTCCTAATTTTCCAGTACGATTAAAGAACAGCTGTGGGTGGGAAGAAGATAACCGCAAGAAGCCACAGCTACTAACAAGGATTTAAGATGCTTTGCTGGTATATTTTGTTTAATGGTAAATATGAAATTAGGTAATTATTCAGTTTTTCATGAAAAGTTACCATTTCTGTGAGCTTAGCCAGTAAAAGAATAAAACTGTTAAAGAAGTATTTTTAGTACCAATAAAAGAACTTTGCAGTTGAATGTTTTATGTCAATGTTTGCTGGGCCTTGACTGATATTATGAGTCTCATCGGATATGAAGCAAAGCATCTGCAAGTGAGAAAGCAGGCTTCTAGATTTCCTTTCCTATAAGGCATATCTAAATTTATATTACCACATTGATCCTGAAGCAGTTTGTATGCTGAGAATTTCTTCTATTTTTCATGTCTTAGAGGCATTCAAAAATTTGTAAGAAAAAAATCTTTAAAATCTTTTATGTTAATTATATGCATGCTTCAGAACAGAACTAGCTTATTCTGTGCTTATCAGCAAAATGCCAGTATCATTTTTCCATTGATGTCACTATTATAATGTATGTTTGTGTTATTTGAAAGAGACATCATTTATAGACCTATTTTAACCTTTCATCACATCAACAAGTCAGTTAATTAAATTTCCTTAATCCCTTCCTTAATCAGCCACATTATATTGGGTTGGCAGAAAATCAGACATATGTTCATTTATTTATTCATTTGGTTAATTTATTTATGCATTTATTATTTATTGCATAGATGATTGTGTTTGTAACCTTATGAAAACTGGTGCTTTTGAAAATGTCCTTAAAAAAATAAATAAATAAGAAAATGTCCTTGCAACAGTGATTGTAATAAAAAATAAGTAAAAGAAGAGGATGTCAGGGAAAATGATTCAGACAGCTATAAAAGTCTATTGACCTATATTCCTATTTTTAACCTATTGTCAGATATACGCAAGGCTCAGACCACCATCTCCCACCACTGGTTTAAAAAAAAAAAAAAAAAAAGGAGTTAATTGAGATTTCCTTTGCTGTTTTATAAATACATGTCGATATGTCTAGACTGATATACATGCATGCACCCTAGTTACTAAAATGATAGACTTCCTTATATTTCAACTAAAATTATTCTGTATTCTAAAGAATATGCCAGTCATACAATATGGAGACATATAATTTCAAATAAACTTTATCATATATTTTCCTGAAACAACTAAATTGCTTTGATTGAATATATGGATCTTAGATCTTGTTTACGTTGCATTTTCAAAGACCTAAACAGCATACACAATCAGCTGCAGCTAAGTATATAAATGTAAGTCATTGCACTTATATGTGTATTCGCATGTATAATGCGCGTGTTTTAATGTAGCTGATATTTGCAGTGGTTGCCTTTGGAAATAGTGGGAACAAGTACTCTAATTTCTTGTGTTATGCTGATCTCTAGTGGCTGGTAAGTATAATGCATTGTAAAGGAAATTTGCCTAGTTTTTGTTAAAATGGAATTCGTGACATTAAAAAAGTTGGTATTTAAATTTCTAAGCAGGTGATGAGTTTTCAGTAGTTTATGCCTAAGTTTTCTTTTATATGTGCTTGTTATGTGTCTGCCTTCCTTGAAAGCAGCACCTGTGATGCATTCGTCATTCAATTTCCTGAATGAAGCACACAGCCTCATACGGTGTTGGGCACGTAATATTGTGGGATTGGCAATACTGAGGCATGCTCTGTGTTACCAAATGACGAAAACCAAGATTGGTTCAAGTAAAATAAAAATACCTATCATTTACAGAATTTCATTGTGTATAAGGCCCTGTAATAGTTTTATTGCAAATATTTCTTTTCATTCTCACAACACTCCAATGAAGTACTATTACCCCCATTTTATGGAAGAAGAAACTGGGTCTCAGGGATATTGAGCACCTTCCCCTGAAGTCACATATGGTAGAATAAGGATGCAAACTCACCTCTATTTGACATTAAACTGGGGCTTCTTCAGCTTACTATTCAGCCTCCCTACATTTTGTATATGAGATATTAAGATGTCCCTTTTACTAAAGCAAAAGCAGGATAACCTACACAATGTTTGACTTTAAAGTATTAAGTGGGTAATTTTAAAAATATGATTGTTCTTCTATTACAGTCAACGGTGTTTACAGGATTCTTTGATTCTGTTACAATGTAACCATAAATGTAAGTAAATATGTTTTCCTGTCCCCCTTCAAGCATTCTGTTTAAAATTCTGAATGGACTTTGCATGTCTGAAATTATTTTGCTACCACTCAATTTTCACCATCAGAAATAAATGCTCTTTCTCCAATTATTTTAATAGCTTGTGGAAAAAAACTGGTGGCTCAAGACATCACCTCAAAGATTGCTGGAGGGAGTAATGCAAAAGAAGGAGCCTGGCCCTGGGTTGTGGCTCTGTATTACGACGGCCGTCTGCTCTGCGGGGCCTCTCTCGTCAGTAGTGACTGGCTGGTGTCCGCTGCACACTGCGTGTATGGGTGAGTGTGACGCCAGGTGTCTCCTCCCAAACGAGGTCACCACGGCAGGCACTGCCAAGTGTCCCATTTTACGCAGATTCACAAAACCATCCTACCAGGGAAATCCTGCTTTTTATGACATTATAAACATTCCAATTATTTTCCCATTAATGTCATGTATGAAAAGAGAGATAAATTTTTTAAAATTATTCTGCATTAGATACATATATTAATGATTCTACATTAGGTATAACATCATTAGATCCTTTTACATACATAACAATAGAAATTTTTGCCAATTCACAAGGTAAGCATTTTTAAGAGTGTGAAATTAGTATTATGTATAGATGTACTGGTTACCATTCCATTTGTCCAATATTTATTGTTAGTAAATTGTCGATATCAGAAAATATGCTTAGGTAGCCCTCAAATTACAACTATATCATACTCTAGGAGTTCACAGATACACACTTTGTAGTGAATTAGGATAAAAGTACTTAGTTCTTAAGTCAGGTCTATTTTGATTGCTACCTATTAACTGAAATTTAGAACTAATTCAAGCATATTTGACTCTGTTTTATACTATAATAGAACAAGATACATGTTGAATTTTGGCATTTGTTTTGCAGTACTACAGGAGAGGCCAGAGTGGTTGGAAGTGGGCGGGAGTAAAGGAGGAAAAAATAAATAATCCTGGGCCCAAGAAAATGTTCATTCTCCTCTTCCACATGAAAGATGCCACCTCTTTAGGTAGTCACATAGTTCTGAATTAGGTCAGGAAAAAAGAGCTTCTTCATAGAAGATGTATGAGCCTAACCTAGGACTCATCTCCTGTCCCTATGCCAGTGAGACATCCAATGAATGGCCTTACCCGTGAGGATTAGATTAAGCTTCTCTGTAGCCAGCATCCAGAACCTCTGAGGAAAGAACCATGCGTGCTCAGGCATGGAAGAGGCAGCCTTAATCAGGTTACAAGACTTAACTTTCCTTACACCCACACAGACATTTAAGATCCTTGAGTAAATAAATAAAAACTGTCACACACAGAGATTGTGAAAATTTTAAAGGAGATAAGGAAAGCCAGGTAGAATGAGCATTAACAGATTGTACCTATACCCAAATACCCATTATATCAGAGTAAAAGTAGACTCAAATGCACAATCCCAGGACTTTGGAGAAAAAGAACCCTCAACTAGATCTCAGGTTTGTCAAATAGCTGGTCTCCAAAGGAGCTATCCACAGCACCATCCCATCTACATCTAAAGCTCTCTCTGATTCTATTAGAGATTATATTACAGCCTCTCCCATAACTAAAGTGCACACTCTTGACTTTGTTTCCTTCTAATAATCATATTGTAATTTATTTTTATACTGTAACAAGCATCTATAGAGGCCACTTTTCCATCCCCTTGCTAAGCCTGGCATCTACCTATATTGTTTGCTTTGGGTAAGTCACAGATAGGTAACATCTATATCCTAACTGTGTTGCAAATTAAAGCTAATTTAGCTAAAGAGTCAGTATTTTCTGTTGCACATATGCAGATCTTAATAAGCTGGCAGTCTTGCTATATTAACCTTGAATTTGGAAAATTCCTGTTTAATGTTCTTGCTGAACATATGCTTTCTAAATGTCAATCAGGCTCTCGGTAATATTAGTGATGTCTTTAAATTATCAGTTTTACAGATGTACTTCTAATAGATCAATGATATCAGTATCATAGCTTTCCAAACCACAAATATATGAAGAAAATAGAAAGGCAGTTTGGCCTAGTGTAAAAACACATGTCCAGTCGCTGCCAGAGAGGAGTCCGGATCCAGATGCCAAGAGGGGATTCTTGAATCTCACACAGGAAGAAATTCAAGACGAATTGCAGAGTGCAGTGCAAAAGATTGTTTATTGAAAGCTCCTGAGTCACAGGGTAGGGCATCCTTAGAAAGCAAGAGAAGGAACACCCTTTAAGTTTTTCTTATATGTGAGTCTTGTCTATGTAAAGACTAAACAAAACTGTGTCTACATGAGAGTAAGCTTGATAAAATTTATTATTCTATTGATTGAGAGAAAATAGTCCTTGACATTGCAGTGTGTCAAAGCATAGTTATCTTGAAAGCATATATTGTTATGGGTGTTGAGACATCTGGACTTTCCATTGTCGTAGGAATATGCCCTTGTAGGTATCTATAAGCTGCTTTCTCAACTGTAAACATTTTATGACTATGGGTCGTGACCAGCAAGGAATGTATCTTGTTTGTCTTAAGATGTGGCTGAAGTCAAAGTGGTGTTACTTTGGCTCTCCTATGCTCCTGCTTCTCCAACACAATCACATAGGACATTAAAATGTCTTTTCACATTTTCAACTTAAGCACAAGCAAAGGTAAGTTGTATTAGAATTGTGATGAATTCAAAGTTATCCTTACCTACCATGCATTTTACTCTCCTTAGGCATTCAAAGGAATTATTTTTTTTTTCTCTAGTGCCTAAGAGTTTTCTTGCTTTCTACTCATGTCTCTACCAAAGACAGTTTCTGATATTCTTTTAGATTGTTTAATCAAAAACTGTTTTTATCAGTGTGTTAATATTGGCTCTTATCTGTCTATTTAAAACCCTAATTGTGCTATGAAAAGCTTAATTTCCTAATAAAAAGAGTAACCCAGATCAAGCAACTTATTGAACTCATGCTACGCGAGTGGCTTGCCCTCAGTGTAAACCTTTTCCAGGTGTTTTAACCTGCAGGTGGTTAAATGGTTTAATTGAACAGCTCTTCTGTTTACTCTTATCATCAACCCTTCATTTGCATTCCTCAGGCTAAGTTCTTCTGAATGCTTCTAAATTAACTTCCTCCTGTTCTGTTTTTCTATTATGGTGTTGTCCTTTTACAACCTTATAAGAAGGATTTGGAAAAGGGTGGGCCAACCTTGTTGTTGTTTAAAGGGCAAGTATGACTTTGAACCAAAGGACAGGATTTCAATCCTATATATGCAGCCAACCACATGTGTGATTATGGACAAGAAACTTAGTATCTCCAAGTTTCAGTTCCTCATCTGTAAAAAGTTCATAAGGATCTCTATCTTACTTGTCAGGACAGCAATCAGATGCTGCCATGCTTTTGCCTACCACAATTCATTGCAAGAATGTTTATTGTGTTGCAGTTCCTGGATAGGAAAGCTCTATGAAAGACGAGGTCAAGTATTGCACAACAGATATTAAGCATATTTATATTCAGAAATTTTTATATTTATGTAATTACAAACATGCATAACAATTGCAAAAATAGTACATAGAGCTCTTTATACCTTTACTCAGACTCACCAATTGCTTACATTTTCCTCTCTATATTTTATTATCATCCCTTTCTAAGTCAGGAGACTTCTTTTTCTGAACAATGTAGTAGTAGGTTAGATGTATTTTTATATTCTCAAGTACTCAGTGTATTTTTCCTAAAAACAGGGGTATTTCCTACAGAATCACAGCAAATCATGGATATTTAACATTAATGTAATACGATTCTAATTAATTGTCAAAAATATGCTCTTTAATTCATATTTGCCATGTTAGAACCAATTCAGGATAATGTATTGCATTTGGATGCTACACTTTGTTTCATCTCCTTTAGTCTAAAGTAGCTCCTTTCTGTATTTCTTTTTTTTTTTTTAATATTTTCGAATACAGGCCAGTTATTAGGTAAGAAAATTCTTCTATTTGGAAAAAATAAAATAAAGAAAACCCCTTCAAGCTTACTCCTTTATCAGCCTTAATATAGTCCCACTCTTTGAGAACTTCTTTTATTTTCTGTCAAAATAAAGTGTTCTAGGTTAATCTTGCGCTTTTTCTATCCTAGCCCTCAAGTCAACCTCTCCATAAAAAAACCTATTTCTATTTAACTAATTTCAGTTATTTCTGTATTTTGGTAACCATGTTCTTGTGTGCTTGTGTCCTTTTCCTAAAACTACTCAATGAACAAAGCTATATTATACACCTAAAAATATAAACTCAAAACAGTGACTCCAATTCAAACAGAATGTTACAGGATAAATTCTCATCTTGTCTTCTTCTGCATTTTTACCTGTTGATTCCAATACCAAAAAACATTGTTCCTGTTATCCACAAACTATTGATGTATTTGCTGCAGACTGGAAAGCCTGGAACACAAAAAGGAGTTTGGTAATTGCTAATTCACAGTACTGCATAAAGCAGACTCATCAACCAGAATTTAATATTTGTTTTCCATTCTTTTTTCCTGCTGACATATAGCAAAATGCATAAACTTAAGTATACAATTTGATGCATTTTTTTAAATGCATGCACCTGTTAAACTGACATTTCTCTCAAGATATAAAACATTACAATCATCCAAAAAGTTTCTTCATTACCACTTTCTAGTCACTCACATCCCAGCTTCCAGAAGCAAATATTGAGTCACTTGGATGGGCAGTCATATATAGATTTATAGTCTGGACCACATTCATTGAATAGACATCTATTAAAGATGAAATTAATAATAAGGAGCCTCTTGCTAATATCTCATTCTTTAATTTGGCTTTTCAGAGCAGACCAGAAACATCACGTGCATTACCTGGTTTCTTATTGAAACAATTCCTTAAAACATATGTTAACATTCCTGAAATAAATTTCATATATGACGTATTTGGGGCATACTATTTATACTTTATTTAGTCCTCAATTTATACTTTTTATACTTTATATATACTTCTATAAATACTATTTATACTTTATTTAGTACTCGATTCATTAAATTGATTTAACTAATAAAACTTTGAAAATCAACTTTTTAAAGCATTTATAACAAAATAACGTTACTTGATACTATAATTACAATTTAAAATTTTAATTTTTTTAAATATAAAATTTTAATTTTTATAAATATATATATTTATGTGTTCTGTGTTCTGCTTAAAGCATTTGAGGCATTCAAAGTGAATTTTAAAAAATTTAAAAGTTTTTCAATACCTAATTTCTACTTAAGCCTACCCTAAAATATACATTTAATGAGTTTAATTTTATT